AACTCAATTGTCAAGTATGGCTGTACTGAAAGTGGTTGCAGTTTTGATGGTCAGACTACTCGCGAAAATGGGATAATCCTTCTCAGAAATGGGCCTGGACCCACAGTTCAGAGCGCAGATCGAGTGGAACACCTGAACTTGGGGCCACTCTCTGGGCACGACCTGACATCAAACCGAACCACTGGAGCCCAAAAAAGTTAGCCAAAATTGGAAAAATCGAGATAAACTGGGCACTAATGGAGCTCTTTATGGCACAAAAAGCCCGAAATTCCTTCGCGGTTCCGATCAAAGATGCTAGTGCGATGAGACAATCTGGGCAGCGCACACTTCCGTCAGTGGGTAAACCTAATAATATGGGCAATCACACGCGTCTCGACCCAGTCAGCTGAGATCAGTACGAAATTTTCCCCCGAGACGCTACAGCAACATCATAAGGTTCATAGGCAGACGGCCCAGGCCCAACTGGGATTTTTCCAAGTCACAGCTAAGGTGACACCACAAGAAGCAAGAGCGCTTGTGCTCGAGCGTAATTAGCGGGGCATTCACTAGGGGTAGATCTCGACCCGCTACTGAAATCCACACCCAATCAGATCCGGGAAAAAGTTGAGGTTCTGGGTGTTTGGCATATGAAAGTTAACTTGGAAGAGAGTAACCCGAGTGTCAGAGTGTCAAAGAGGGGGATCGTAGAGGGTGGGGGGGCGTATATAGTTGCTGTAGGGAATGGGGTCGTATTTGCTTCTGAGAAAAAAGATTTTGGTTGTCGACTTTTCAGTACCTGTTTCAAGTGCGCTATTTACCTCTACCCCCACGGACCGCCACCGTTCGATGGCAGTTTATTTCGAAACAAAAGTAGAATTAACTTTTCTGGGATTTCCCTTAAAAGAGGTAGGAAGTTAGGAGAAATTACAAAGACGGTAGACGATCGTGGAAGGGCTCGTATCAAAAGGAGAGATTTTGAAGTGAGGGGGGGGTCGTATTTTGCAGAAATTGTCCATCGATAACAAATGCCCCGCGTCCAAACAAAAGATAATCGAAACAGAAGTTGCTTGACGTAGAAGCGAGCATTCGGCAGCAGAAAGTGCCCATAAAAAAGCAGGACAGAATAACCCCCGGGGAGATTAATATATCACGGGGGCAAATTTCATGGTAGCTCGTGACGTGATATATGACATGGATGAGCAGGTGCAGTCTGAGCACATAAACAAATAAATCGAACAAGAGTAAA